GCTCCACAGGTGAAATACAAGGAGCCTTATGTAACCAATGTCTTGGGACGGTACATAGGCACTTTTGAGGACCCCTATCAAGCACATTGCATGAAGATTGAAGCTATGAAGAGTGACGTGAGTATGAATTGTACCTACTTTCCTCTATTTTTTTTTTCCTTTTTGTTCAGTTCATGGTGTTTATGATGTTTTATGGTGGTTCCTCTAGAAAAACTATAAGGCAGACTATGAAGACGAAAAGGCTAAATGCTATTTCCCTCAAACCATAACTCAAGAATATGAAGCCATAAAGAAACTGGACATATGCAAAGATGTAAGTCATTGTTACTGTGAGATTTTATATTTGTACATACAGTAGTCTGGAGTCTTTAAAAATTGTTTTTAAAAAGGTAAACTTTAATATTACAATGCTGGTTTAAGTTTCCTTGGATTAATCTTGACCTATGGCTGATTATGCACATGAGGGCTCTTGTTCCACATTCTTGCCCTCTGCAGATATCCATCCACATAGTTTTCTTGGCATTAGAATGGAATTAACTATTTTTCTTAAACACCAGACATAATACTGAAAGACTTTTCCAATGTAAATTGGAAAGAATACGTCACATGTGATGCCAAATCAGAATTTAAGAAACCACAAAACTGTTACAACAAAGTGGTACAGACTAGGGGTATTTTCCTCATAGTGTTCATTGATTCAAACACTTCTTCCTGAAGAGATCAGTCTGAAGCCTGGTAATAGGTGCCTTTGTAGCATCGTCTGGGCATTTTAATTTTTTTATGTTTTGGCAAGCCAACATTGGAGTTTGTAGTACGCCTTGCATTATACTTGCTTCTCCAGTTTTGTTACTATTCCTCTATTACTGCACTGAAATGTGGCTGTTCAGATATACATGTAGGATACATCTGGTGGTAAAGGAGACTGTGGTTGAGTTACTTACTGGAGGAGACTATCCTCAGTATAATCATCCATTTCCTGCTGTTTCAATGGCTTGAATGAGCTCTGTGCTGCAGAGTGAGCACACTATCTCTTTCTCCTTTTCCCCATTTTTAAAAATCCTGGCTTGTAGTATTGTTACAATGTATCTAGAACAGATTGGTAGCCTCTCCAATACATGTGAGTTTGTAAAAATCAATCATGGGTTAAAAATCCAAGGTTAAAAAAACATATTTTGCTTTTGGAGAAACTCTTTACCGCAATAGCTGCCTGTCCACCATCTTGGCTTCTCCCCACATCTGCTGATTGTCTTTTACCTTAGTTTTTACTTGTGGTTATTGACTATTTTGGCATTTATTCATATTTCTATTTTCTATTTAAATTTTTGTTATTCATTGCAGATGTTTTATATCTGTGTTTTATGAATGTAAGCTACCACGAGCCCCTGTTGTTTGCAGCAGGAAACAAATACAACAGATATTGTCATGAAAACTGATACATGCATGTATGAATGTTCTTCGTGCAAAGTGTTTGAAGGGGATATTTCACAAACGGATGCCTTCTAGACATGGTTATGGTTACTAAACCCTGAAGCTCAACATTGCCTGAGAGATATCGGCTGTGAAAGCCTATACTAGTGTAGCAAAATAAATCATCTTTCTTGGGAGTCCCAAAGTTGTTTTTTCAAGAGGCAACTGGACTTTCTGTTTTTTCTTTGAAGGGAAAACAATCACTTCATATATACATGGCACAACATAGGAGAACAAACCCATGAGGACTAGATTCAGCAATCCATCTGCATTTAAAAGACAAAGGCCATTCTTTTGAAGACAGCAAAGTCCACATTTTGGACAGAGTGGACCGCTGGTTTGAAAGAAAGGTCACAGAGGCCATCTTTGTCAAAATTGAGCGGTCCTATCTCAATAGAGGGGGAGGGATATGACATCACCTATCTCCAATCTACAACACAGTTTTCTCAATAATTCTAAGAAGGTTCCACACACATTTGCACCACTGATGACACAGATAAACCTCCAGGCGGTCTTAACCACTTGCTAAAAGAATGCAAATGACCAGCTGTCTGCAAGGAGTATAAATCCTTCCATTCCCCACCATCCAGTCAGAGCTGTAGAAGCTTCTTGGATGAGAAGGGAAACATCTTCAAAGAAAAACCAGAAAGTCCAGTCGCCTCTTGAAAAAGCGCCTTTTGGATAACCATGAACTGGATGATTGAGAATCTCCATAAACACTTCCTTGGGAGTGTTAAGGTAGCCTTGACTTTTTCAAAGCTTCCTCATGTGCTTGAAAAGCTGTCCTGGTTGTTTGCACACATGTGCATGACACTACCACTTCATTTTACAGACAATCCCTTTGCAGGCAGACCTGCAGATCCTGAAGAAACAGATCTGGAAACATCTGTAGAGCCTTGCAAACAGTTGGTGCTTTAGTCCACAGGTGTCAAACTTGTGTGACGTATCACAACATTTTTTTCCCCCTTTGTGGAGCTGAGGTGGGCGTGGCCTGCGGGGGCCACCAGTTTAACATCCCTGTTTTAGATTTTTGAAGTGAGAGGATTTGTTTCCAATATGTTGCATAGATTTACTAGTAGTAGGCTTCATCCTCAGCAGTGCAAATATAGGTTATAGCACTGTACGTGTGTGTAACAAGTATGGGACAATATGGTTCTATTCACATCTTTAGTTAAAATAGCAATATATATAGAAGGCTTTAAGATTTCTAAACAGCAGTGGGTTTAGACATATTGTTGATGAATGAATGGACCATGTTAGTATGCTAGAATTTTTTAAAAAAATATTTTCTCATAGATACTGGAAAGTAGAACTGTATTTTGATACATACTAAAAAGTAAATGCAATTACCTTTTGTTTCCTCATTTTGTCTAGCATGCATACAAGAAACATCCTGATCAGATCAAGTTTACCCCTGTGACAGACTCACTGGTTATGGTACAAGCACAAATTAATTCCAAGCAGCTGAGTGATGTAAGTAACCTAGCAACTCTAACAAGGTCCCATCTGGCCTTATTTTGTAGATGCTTTCTCTTCTAGTTTCTATTCATGAAGTTGTAGCTTTATTACCTAACGGTTGAAAATGTTCCAGTTTATGATTTTCAAAACATACCATGCGATGAACACAACATTTTGAAGAATGTCAGAATGCCTCATTATTCTCTAGACCAAGAGTGGGCAATTAATTTTCCCACATGAGAAATGGGGACTCTTGTGAAGTGCCGAAACAATAAGGCCATGAAGATGTGTAGACATGCACACACAAACATACATAAATGTAAAAAAAAAAAAAAAACAGCAGTCACCTTCAAAATAAAAACAATTCTTATAGGCTTGGAAGGGAGAGCCAAAGGGTGGGATATGACTGAGGAGCCATAAAATGCCCCGGTCTGTTCTAGACAAGGGGTCTCCAACCTTGGCAACTCTAAGATTTGTGGACTTCAACTTCAGCCAGAGGAACTCTAGGAGTTGAAGTCCACAAGTCTTAAAGTTGCCAAGGTTAGAGACCCCTAGTCTAGACCATACCAATCCAGCCATCCTGAGGGTAATCCAAAAGCTCAATGTAAATTTTATGGAAATGTGAGGCTGGATTATGCTGGGAACATCACAGATTACTTCTTGTTCCAGAAGATTCATTTCTGGAATTTTTTTGGATCATCTCTGGAACAACCAGATCCGTAGTAGTAAAAAAATAATAATGGAATAGTTCAGTATTCCTTGGAATGTTTTGTTTTCAGACTTGTATATTTTTGTACATATTTAATACCAGAGTCAATGAAACAAGTAGCAATATAACTAGGAAAACAAGGGCTGAGCTTGTAATCAATCCGCAGGGATGTATAGGTTGTTAGTGTTGCTTTAACGCAAGAGATCTATTTTTGACATTGTTTTGTGGTAATGCTTCCTATTTTTAATTTTCAAAAGATGTATGTTATGAAAGCAGATGGGGATCTGTTATTGTTATGTTCATGAAAACCAAAGTCCAGTCATATCTTTATGTTGGCTGACATTGACACAGCCTTTCCTGAATTAACTGAACAGCGTAAACATACTTATTTACTTGATTTATACCGTGCCTTTCTATTATGATGGTTATTAAACTATAGTGGTATCCTGGTGCTTAACTGCTTTGAAACTCATCAAATTTGGTACTCAATGCATTTTGACATGGAAATTTTGTCTCGGTACTAATCATTTAACAGATGATCAGAGTTGAAAGGGACCTTGTAGGACATCTAGTCCAATCCCTGCCCCAGCAGGAGACCCTACACCAGTGGTTCCCAAACTGTTTCAGTCTACTGCCCCCTTGGTGCTACAAACTTATCCTTAGTGCCCCCACCCAGGAGTGGGATTCAAATTTCTGTGGGCGTGGCCTAATTTGAGGGTGTGGCTTGCTGTTCATGTGACCGGCTGGCCGTGGCTTGCTGGTCACATGACAGGTAGATGTGGTTTGGTGGTCATGTGACTGGGTGGGCATGGCCAGCTGATTGGCACACCAAATACAAGTGGTCCTCACTTAATGGCCGGTTGCTTAGCAAGTGTTCTAATATATGACTGGCCTCCCCAGAGCTACTTGACCTGTTTTTGGAGTTTTGACAGCCATGCACACAAATACACACACACTCCCTTCTAACCCTGCTGGAGCAGGTCATTGGACTAGATTTTTGTTTGCTACTCAATGCACAAGCTAGAATTTGTTGGTATTAGCTGCCTTGTGACTCACTACATCATTCCGTGTGGAAAAAATTTGTTTGGTACTTATCATGCCTCCCAGAAACAATTAAGGATGAGTACTGAGATACCACTGTAAAAAACTTTTATTTTAAATGGTTTGTATTTCCCTCTTATTTTGCACAGGCATTAACAACCTATGCTAGCATGCTTAGCATGCTTGGAGCATCCTCCAAATGATAACTTTTTAAATGTGATTTTCATTTTATATTTCAGTTGAACTACAAAGCCAAACACGAAGCTGAGAAAAACAGATGTTCTATCCCTCCAGATGCTCCCTTATTCCTCCAATCCAAAGTCAATGCCTACAACATCAGTGATGTAAGAATCTTACAAATGATACTTTCCCAGCTAAATAAAACCAAGCTCCTGAGGAGAATCATAATGCTATTCATGACAGTGAGGATAATAAGGCATAAAACAGGATATATTTGATTGTCAGGTAACACCTGCCAGGAAGATTAGTTTGGAGGCAGAGAACTTAGATCACCACTTAGATTTTCTTCATAATCAGTTGTCATCACCTCTAGTTAGTTTGGTGAGTGGCTTCAGCTTTGCGGAAAGGCCAATGATGAAGTAAGAAATTAGATACTAAAGCGGAAGAATGATGAACAGATGGCAATGAAGAAGAGATAAAAGAAAAGGATCAAAATAGATATTTAGGATAGCCTATAGGTGCTGGCAAGAAGAAACATGCTAGGGAAAGAGGCTGTTGAGGTTCTAGGAGGCTATGAAGACCAAGAAAGCACAGCAAATGTTAGTGTGTATGTGTGTGCTCTTATGTGAGAGTTGACTGACAGACACTCACCTGAAAAACCTCATTTAATAAATGTTTAATTATTTACTATGGATAAAAAAACCCATTTGTTCTACAGACTGCTTTCCAGCTTTGAAAAAAGATTCTTTAGGGTACATGGAGTCCAATGAAGAGCTTCATTCTAGACTGATGTTCTGAAATTAGAATTTACATTGTTTGGATCGTATCTTTGACAGCCCTTGCAATATAAAGTAATGTTAATCTCATAAAGGGACTACTTTATACAAATTCTACATATTTGTTGAGTGGATGTTAAAGAGCTTGAAATCTTGTGGATCAAAAGATTAGTAAAAAGAATATTCTATTCTGTTATTTTACTCATTATTCTACTCTGTTATTCTGTTAGTCTACCCATAATAACATGCACATTGAAATAGTTATTCAGTTATAGGGTTATCCACTCCCTAAGATAAATATAGGGATTATATAGAATACATTTTGGATGTTATGCCATGACTTGTTCATGTATTTTTCTCTTTTCCCTTGGGTTAGAATTGGTATAAATATGACTGGGATCAATCAAAAGCAAATAAATTTGACATCAAGATGGATGCCATTCCAATTCTAGCTGCAAAAGCGAAGCAAAAAATTGCAAGTAATGTAAGTGTTACACAGAAAATAAAGTAGATCTTCGATTGTTTTACATTTGCAGCCAGGTTTTTAGAGTACCAAAGTATATTATTGTCTTGTGGCCATACAGGTTGAATACAAAAAGGGTTATGAAGAGAGCAAAGGCAAGTTAATTGGAGCTCTGAGTATTGAAGATGATCCCAAGTTGATACATTGCCAAAAAGTGGCCAAGCAACAGAGTGATGTAAGTACAGATAAACCAAATAATATGTGGTTTGTTGATGATATGCTGCATTCTCTGAAAAATGTTGATTTATCTAGATATAAAAACTTTCTCAGAAGATATTTCTTTAGAGTGTCCCTTTAGGTGAAGTTTACATTCAGTGAATTCTTAAAAAAGAACCACTGATCTCTAATTTTTGAAAACACAATGAGCAAGTCCAGAGTGTTAAATCCTCTGATGGGAAATAATAACAATACACCCTTTGAGGAAAGTAGGTTATCATAATTGCCTAACAAAATGATCAGGAAATGCAAATGTTAATAAAAATAATACTTGGGTTATTAACCTGAATGCTTATGAAGTACAAAAAGTAAGTGAATCTTAGGTTATTAGTAGATGCACCACATTTTTAGCATAAGTTGGGCATATATTCAGAAATGCATGTAACTGTTGACAGTGGCTTATTTGAAAGTCAACATAACCCCAACCTAGCCTGTTTCTTGCTATGGCTGTAGTCATTTCAGAAGACCTTCTCATGTTGCAGAAAAAGGATTCTTTAAATAAGCTGTGCCTGCTTTTTGGATATTGTAGAGGGATTATTACCCACATTTTACAAAGATCTGGGCTTCTTTTTTTCCAACTCCAAATGGTAAATTACTTGTATTAATTGTATCATAGCTGCTCTATAAAAAAGATTATGAAGCATCAAAGACCAGATACACAGCACCACTGGATATGATTCCTGTTGTACAAGCAAAGAAAGCTCAGGCGATCGTCAGTGATACAGACTACAGGCATCGGATCCATAATTACTCCTATCCTCCTGATAGTATTAATGTGGAGCTGGCCAGGAAGGCTAATACTATACTAAGTGATGTAAGTAGCAATGTTTGTTCAAACCTAGCATTGTTGAAGAATACTACCTACAGAAAAGAGGAATGGCAGTGTATTTCCATAGCAATAGCACTTAGACTTACATACCACTTCATAATGCTTTACAGCCCTCTCTAAGCAGTTTACAGAGTCAGCCTATTGCCCCCAACAATCTTACCGACCTTGGAAAGATAGAAGGCTGAATCAACCCTGAACCTGGTGAGATTCCAACTGCCAAATTGCAGGCAGCCAGCAGTCAACAGAAGTAGCCTGCAGTACTGCATCCTAACCACTGCGCCACTGTGGCTCTGGAATAAACCTTTTCCAGAGTTTGACTACTGGAGCAGGAAGAAACCCAATTGAGGATTCTCTATTTTGGCTTTCCCTAACTGCTGTCCTCCAGGTTTGTTGGGAATATAAGTCCCAGACAACTGTTGGACATGTCTACCCTTAAAATCTAAGTTGGCCATCAGCTGTCTTGAAATTATGCTTACCTGTAATTATCCATACAGCATCAGTTAGAGAAGAATGATTTAAAATATTAAAATATTGACTGGTGGGTATTTGTGAAAAAGAGAATAGATTTAAAGACTGAAAAGAAATTCTGCACCTGAAAGGTATAATAGGTAGCTGCTACCTAGGACTGTACAGGAAAAAGATTAAATTCAAGGATTTGATTCAAATGCTGTTCAGTGAAATGTCCAAATCAAATTGACTTTTTAAATCAGTTTGATTATTCAGGTTGAATCGCTTAGTCAAATAAAGTATATTTGAATCAGTTCAATGATTATGAATGTTCCATGCCTGCATTGAAGCTATTTTTCTGAAGAAGTTCAGAAACTCAGGTCAGTTAGATCGCATGTTTGAGTCAAGTTAATAAACAGATTTTGAGTTCTGAACCCAATAATTGATTTGAATTAGATTGGGGGTGTTCCATACATCCCTACTTTCAATGTTTCCATCTTTAAAAACTTGTGTTCAGTATAATTTTCAATAAATGTTTCTTGGGATATAAAATAGAATTGAAGGTTTAAATCTGTAAAACATTTTGTAGCTTGTCTGTTTAACAGAGATAATATCTATTCGCAATATCCTATTGTTTGTAAAGGATGATCTGGAATTCAGAGAGCTTTTAAAAATATTATACTATTCCTGCCCATGAAGTCCTAACTATTACATAGAGCCAAGTGTTGCTTTCAAACTGAGTTCAGCTTCTAGTGATTATACAGAAAAGTTCTTACCCCAGATATGTTTCTTTAAAAATGTCTTAGTATTGCCTACAGGCCTGGTTTTTCCAGATGGACCTTATAGAAAGCTGATTCTGCTTTCATTTAGGTAGTGCTACTGTTTAATGAAACATATCACACCAGTTTGGGAATAATTTAATCATTTTGGTTTTGGCAATTACATTATCATCCTAATTTTAATTCAAGAATTATAGTTTCTGTTGGCTACCTTTTAAAAGAATGTTCCGTCTACATCAGGGGTGTCAAACTCATGTTATCACGGTGGTGTCACGTGTCGTATTGTGACTCTCCCCCTCACTTTGCTAAACCAGGCGTGGGCATGGCCAGCACATGACACATCCGGCTCGTGGGCCGTGAGTTTGGCAGCCCTGATCTACATATAGGACAGCTCGAATAAACTGTCACATGAACCCAAAGGCAAAAATTTCCCATTTTTAAACTCATTATGGTCTTTTCCAGAATGAATATAAAGCTGATTACAACAGTTGGATGAAAGGATGTGGTTGGATACCTTATGGATCCCTGGATGCAGAAACAGCAAAAAGAACTTCAGGATACGTAAGCGAGGTAAGTAAAAAAAAGCCAGAGTTGTTTCAGGTTAGGTATGGTATTCATTTTTTTTTCTTTTAACAACTCTGAAATCCCTCTTGTATTGGGGTAGAGTCGGGGCGACTAAAGGAAGCGGAGTGTTTACTGGCCGGATTCTCTTCCTGATGCCTATGCAGAGTTCGCAGCAGATATTTTCTCTTTGTGCCCAAATAGAAAAACATCTGTTGCTACCTAGAATTGAACTCTTAACCTCCTGAGTGTGAGGAGGGAGTCTATGCCTTTAGGCCATTGCAGCGCTTACTGGGCTTCTCCATATTTAATTATAGCTAAATGGGAAAAAATCAGATACCCTAAAAGGAGCTATACACTGAATCCCCAGTCTAATCAATAACCCTCTCACTTATAACATGTTTTGCCCACTGTTTTTCAACCCAAACAGTTACCCAATACTTGCACATTTTTAAAGAAGATTCACATCAGTGCAATTCCAGCAGTTACACTCAACCAGAAGGCAGATTTGTAGACTTAAGACAATGTTCTGATACAACTAAAATTTAGAATATTGTAACCCATAACCTTCAGGTCATATCTGTTAGAAAAGTGGGTTTGTTGTATAATTTCAGTAACAAGATTATGGATTTCAAGAATATAAGCAAGTCATTTAGCATCAATGGCACCTCATACTGGATTGATAAATCCAAGGGAGGACCTTCCAACCAAGTATTTTTGTAGAAGACTTCCTGAGACCAACAAAGGATGACATGGTCCTCTTCTGACTCCTGGACCATCATAAATGCAACATGTCCTTGTATTTTTCTGCTTCAATTAAAAACTTCTCTTTTCTAATCAGAATTGACTTAATCCCTGTTTAAGAGCAGATGGTCTCCAGCAAGTCATGCTGATCTGGCAGCAACTCCAGGTTTGATTGGCTGCAGGATCTATCATTGTACCTTCCCTCCTACAGTTGCAAGCTTTAGCTGCTTGCCTTTTGGGTTCTCTGATGGTGGGCAGTTGTTGGTTTTTACAGTCACCTTGTATTGAAAAATGCAAAAAGGTCCATACAGTCCATAAAAGATTATTAATCCTTATTAATCATTCTTCAGTCACAGAGGGTCAGAGGAATGAAAGGACAACTGTTGGCTATTGGTTTTATTCCCATGGCATTCGAGTCATAGTGGTGTCATAAGGAAAAGATAAAAGAAATGAAAGGGTTTTGTGTTAAAGGAGATAATGGGAGGGCAGAGAAGTGGAACATGAAGGCATCTATGTGAGCAGACATCAGGAAACCAAGGGAAAAGCAGGAGACTAGTAAGAAGGGAATAGCTCCTCAAAGGAAAGCACAGGCACTAGTAGTGTGGTCTAGCAAGCCAGTGAGTCCTGTCTTCCTTACGCAGATGGGAAGGACAAGAAGTAGCGGAAAGACCAATCAGTTTGAAGTCTGGTTTGAGCACTAGTCCTATTCTGTTATCAACTCACTTCAGTCTGGACTGGAATTTCTGAAAAGGACAAGCAACTTAGATTGCTGCATGAAATTTGTTTTCTCTTTCTCCTCCTCTTTCCTTTTCTATAGTAATAGAAACAAATGGAAGTTTTATGTTCATGTAGTTGGTTAAATTATCCATGAATGCAAGTTTCTGTAGTTAGTTCTGCTTTGCTCCATCACTCTTAAGCCATAATGTGGTACAATATGATCTATGAAGTGGTTAATTGTGTCCCAGTAGATAGAAAAAATGACTACACTTCTTTTAGGAAAGCTTTATTTATTTGCTTGTTTCTAATTAATTAATCACAACACCCAAACACAATTCTTGGGGTAGAATAAGTGTTTTGCATAGAAAAAGTGTTAATATTTTAGATTCATGGAAGTCGTTCGGCCTTGATTACTTTTTAAAATCACTTGGACTTGGGAAAAAAATCTTGAAGATGTATTTTTAGTGAAGTGGTAGATAATGATTAGATGGAAGCAATGGAAAAATTCAGCAAATGAGACTGATTTGTTTTTTTCACAAACAGAAAAAATACCGCCAGCCTCCAGACACTATTAAATTTACACAAATTGAAGATCATCCTACTGTGGTTCAGGCTAAAATCAATCAAGCCCAGCGGAGTGATGTAAGTATGAGTAATGTTTATATGTTGGTTAACGTTTAGACTAACTGCATTATAAATTTGCTGCAGGTCATAGAATCTTTAAAAGACTAAGGGGCCTTGATCAAATGTAGCCTATACTTCTGAATTGAAACAAAATCTGTTATTTGGAATTATTTTTATAATTATAAAATTATAAATTATAATGTTCGTTTTTGGTTTTGAATGTCTCACTGATTTTCATACTTGATTCCTCTTCAGGTACTTTATAAAGCCAAAAATGAAGAATTAATTCACAATTATAACCTCCCGGCAGATGCGCCTCAATTTATCCAGGCAAAGGTTAATTCCTACAATATCAGTGATGTAAGTTTGCTTTGGGCAATTTTTAAAACGGAACTTTAACTGCACATGTAGGTGGTGAGCAATTCATGACTTAATAAATTCATTCTCTTTCAGACTTACTACAAACTGGGTTTGGAAGACCTGAAATCCAAGGGCTATGACTTGAGGAGTGATGCCATTCCCATTATAGCAGCTAAAGCTGCCAGAAAGGCTGCCAGTGATGTGAGTATACCCATCATAAAGAGTGGTTTTCTTAGGGGCAAAGGGAAATTCCACTACCGTAATTCACTTTTAGGACTTGGCACTAGTTCATCTGTCTAAGAAAAAGCCCATCCGTGCTCCATCACCTGCATTCTAGTGGACCGATTTCTGAATTAAACCAATCCCAGAAAACAGTGGTACTTTTCTGGAGTCACTCTGGGTAGTGAGATGGGGGCGCATACATTAAATAAGTAAAGAAATAAATAATTCAATAAACAAATAAGTAAATACATAAATAATAAATAAATAAATCTGTTTATAATGGATTTACTGATTTGTACAATTTGCCAGCCATCGTTTAAATACCTTGACATGTTAAGCAGTGGCTGAGCCTGTATTATTTGGTAACAAGACTTTGACGACTCTTGAGTTAAGCATATCTTTTAACTTCTCAGTTTCATGGAACTTCAGAGTGCAAAACTTGAATGGCACTGTGCCTTGTCTTTTTTCAATTAGCTCACTGCATCATTTGCATCTTTGTTATGGGTAGCCTTTGCAGAGGGGAATGCCCTCCCATCTATGACTTGCCAGGCCCCAACACTGATTCATTTTCAGGAGCCTTTCCAACTTTTAACTTTTCATGAGTATCTTTCTGAGCTGGTGACCCTTCCAATACTGTATATTTATTATTTTCCATGAATCGTTTCAATTATTTCTTTTTTCTCCCCTCCATTTTATTCTGTTTTATAATTACAGTAAGCTGCTTCAGATATTTAACCAGTGGTGTTTAAATACTTTTGGTTAATAATGCATTAGTGCACTAGTTTGGTTTCTTATTTGGCTTTCCTTTTCTCAGATGGTAACATTTATGTTATCTTACTGTACCTTGTTTTTTGTCTTTTAATGACCCCGTAATCCCTTACATCGGGATGGAGTTGGGTAACAGAATGGAGCAGAGTGTTTACTGGCTGGATGCCCTTCCTGTCACCAATGCAGAGTTTGCAGCAGATAATTTCTCATTGTGCTCAGAGAGAGAAATATCTGCTGCTACCTAGGATCAAACTCACAGCCTCCTGATTGTGAGGCGAGAGCTCCACCTCTAGGCCACACCACCACTCATTTTACTGTACCTCGATCACAGTTGCAAATTCTGTAACAGTGCTAGAGAAAATCTGAGAATTGCGACTATAATCTCATAATCTTACCCTTGAATCAAGCCTTGCTATAGACAATGGGATATACATTTCAAATGAAAGGGAATAGGGTGGATGCTGGACTTCCATTTAATTCCCAGTGTATCAAGTGGGAACTATACTCAAATAATTTAACCATGATCAAATTTCCACATTGTCTTAAATATTAGATCCGTGATGGCAAACCTATGGCACACATGCCACAGCCATTTTTGCGGGCACGCGAGCCTTGGAAGTGATAAAAAGGGCCCATTTTTTGGCCTCCAAAGGCTGCAGAGGCCTCCCTCGAGCCCCCAGGAGGGTGAAAATGGCCTCCCTCAGGCTCCAGAGCCCCTTTGGAGGCTGAAAACAGACACTTCTGGTATTTCCAGTATTTCTACAGAATACTGCTTACCCAGAATTTAGCACAATTCTGCAAATGCCTGGGAATTTTCACCAGTACACCAAAAGCATACATTATATGCTGTTGCTTGTTGCAGTTCTTCTGGCACTACTAAATGCATGCATTCAATCTGGAAAGTAGACACTTTTCTGCTCATGTTGACCTTATTGTCTTTTTGTGTTCAATATTGCTTTTATGTAGTATCAGTTATAGGATGCTCACCGGGAAATAAATCTCTTTCTCAATCTTATTTTGACAGTTTGAATATAAGAAGGGCTACGAACAAGCCAAAGGCAAACTGATTGGCTTCCAGAGCATTCAAGATGACCCCAAATTAGTCCATTATATGAATGTGGCCAAGATGCAGTCAGAGCGGGACTACAGGAAAGCTTATGAGCAAAGCAAGACTAAGTACAACACTCCACTTGATATGGTGACTGTTGTAGCTGCTAAGAAAGCCCAGGAAATTGTCAGCAATACCAATTACAAGAATCCCCTGCACAATTATACGTTATTGCCAGATGATATTGGTGTGGAGCGAGCTAAAAACATGATGCAGATTCAGAGTGATGTAAGTTTGCTCAGATATTTGTGTTCAGATAAATGTAATTTGAAAATAAGTTTTTTCAGCTAACGAGTTCCTCCCTCCCTCCCTCCTTCCCTTTCTTTCTTTCTTTCTTTCTTTCTTTCTTTCTTTCTTTCTTTCTTTCTTTCTTTCTTTCTTTCTTTCTTTCTT